AAGCTCCTCATGTTGTGACCCAACCATAAAATTATTTCGTTGCTACTTCGTAACCATCATGTTGCTACTGTTATGAATCGTAATGTAAATATCTGATATGCAGGATGATCTTAGGCGACCCCTGTGAAAGGGTCGTTCCACCGCCAAAGGGGTCGCGACCCACAGGTTGAGAACCGCCGTGAGAGACGCTGCTGCTTATGAAACTCTTTCTTATATACTCACTCCATTAATCCTCGTAAAAACTCATTCTAATATTAATTCGTTTTACAGACGTGGAAATGAGATCTGCAAAATCACCGCCTTGAGAGAATTCAGTAACTGCCATGCACGAATCCAACCCGAGGGCCTCTGACTCCAAATGGTACGCTTTTCCTTCGTTTTCTCATTCATTAACCTGCTCAACAAATACTTACTGAACCACCGTAGGTAGTAGGTGCTGGAAATGCGATAGCAAACGAAGCTCAGACCAAACCGACCTCTGTCCTAACAGGACACAAGCCGTTACAAATTACTTCGTCTCCCTAAACCTCGGGTTTGTCATCTGTAACATGGAGATGTCTCCCTGGCATGACGCATGGTGCCTGGCATTCGCGAATGGCAGAAGTAACCACTAATACCATGCATGACGGAGGACTAAGTAGAGAGTGCTTCCGTTTACAAATAAAAACGGGGGGCAGGACGGTTAAGTCGCCCCCAGGAAGGCCGGCCCCCCACTCCGGCGACTTGGCAACTCCACGCGCGCCCCGGGGCTTCGTTGGCCAGAATCGCCGTCCACCCGCAGCCGTCGGGCCCCGACCCCTTTTTCATGGCCCAGGGGAGCCCCCAGCAGCCATCAGGGACAGACGCACACACGCACACACACACACCCGGCCCCGCGCCGCCCCGAAGGCCAAACCGGAGGAGCCGCCCAACGGTCCAGGCCAGGAGGACCCCTGCCTCCGCTGGCGGGAGAGTGGGCCCAGGCGGGGTCGCCCGGGTGTCATTACTCATCCCTCCTGGTTCACCTCGCTGTAGAAGGTCATAAACGCCTCCTCCGTACTGCCTCCGCCGGCCGAAGCCCCGCTCTCTCCAGAAGCCGCCATTTTCCCCGGGCCCAGCCCCCACGTGACTCTTCTGCGCAGGCGCTGCCTCACGTGATGCTTCCAGACCCACCTCTGGCCTCGCCTCCTTCTTGGGGACCCTTAAAGGGCCCGGAGACCAGCCTGACACGCTAACTGAAGGCTCCTTTTTTTTTTTTTAATTAAGGTGAAACACACATGACATACAATTAACCGTTTTAAAGTGCACAACTCATTGGCCTTTAGAAAGGATATCTTGGCACCATTTAAGCCGTTTCTCCTATTCTCCTTACTTCCCAAACCCTGACAACCATTCTATGTCCTGTCTCTATAGATTTACATATTCTGGACATTTCATATGAATGCAGCCATACAATATGTGACCTATTGTGTCTGCCTTCTTTCACCTTAGCATGCTTTCAAGGTTCTCAACCTTTGAGTCGCGAACAATGAAAATACATCCTGCATATCAGATATTTACATGACGATTCATAACAGTAGCAAAATTACAGTTATGAAGTAGCAACGAAAATAATTTTATGGTTGGGTCACAACATGAGGAACTGTATTAAAGGGTCACGGCATTAGGAAGGTTGAGAACCACATTCTAAGGTATTGCATGTTTCATTACTTCATTACTTTTTATGGTTGAATAATATTCCACTGTTCTGTGTGTATATACCACAGTTCGTTTGTTCATTCATCAGTTGATGTACATTTGGGTTGTTTCCATCTTTTGGCTTTTGGCTATTGTGATAATAGTACTGCTATGAACCTGAAGCTACATGTATTTATTTGAATACCAATTTTCTATTGGGGGTGGGGGTTTGGGGGTGTATATACCAAATACCTAAAGTGAAATTGCTGAGTCATAATATGGAAATTCTATATTTAACTTTTGAACAACTGCCAAGTTGTTTTCCACAGCAGCTGAAACATTTTTTTTAAAGCAGCTGAAACATTTTATATTCCCACCAGCAATGTTGAAATTTTACAATTTCTCCATTTTTTTTTTATTACAGTCATCCAAGTGCCTAGATCAGTGATGGCAAACCTATGACATGCGTGTCAGAGGTGACATGCAAACTCATTTTTTTGGTTGATTTTTCTTTGTTAAATGGCATTTAAATATATAAAATAAATATCAAAAATATAAGTCTTTGTTTTACTATGGTTGCAAATATCAAAAAATTTCTATATATGACACGGCACCAGAGTTAAGTTAGGGTTTTTCAAAATGCTGACAAGCTGGGCTCAAAAGGTTCGCCATCACTGGCCTAGATGGATCTTTCACACAAACTCTGTAAGACCCTCCACTGGATGCCCAGCCTAGGAGATAGTCAAGAAATAGCAATATGAGAAGTAGAAACAGAGTTTCTGAAAGTGAAATGGTATTTAAAGATCATCTAGAAACACACCAAATTATTGTCACCAGGTAGAAATTACAAATGATTATTTTTTCTACCCTGCTTTTGTCTTTTTCCAAAATTTCTGAAATGAACATTTGAAAACATCCATTCTCCCCAAGTCATACAGGACTGGCATTTTTCCAACCAAAAGATGATTAATAGCCCTGGCTGATTTAGCTCAGTAGCTAGAGCACCGGCCTGTGGACTGAAAGGTCCTAGGTTCAATTCTGGTCAAGGGCACATGCCTGGGTTGTGGGCTCGATCCCCAGTAGGAGGCATGCAAGAGGCAGCCAGTCAATGATTCTCTCTCATCATTGATGTTTCCATCTCTCTCTCCCGCTCCCTTCCTCCCTGAAATCAATAAAAAAAGTAAAAAAAAAGTTTTTAAGATGATTAATAAAAACAGTTCTACCATTTCAAAGAAAACAAAGAAGTGTTATAATCATGAGTAATACAGATAATCTGGCCTAACTCTCTCATCCACCGGACAAAAAAAACTGAGAACAGAGAGAAAATATGATATAGGCAGGCAAAGACTATAAACTACTATTTTCTTGTTCATATTTTTCATGGCTGAAGGAATGTCAAGGCAAAGCCTTCCCTAGACTCCTACTTATGTTCTTCTCTTCATTGCACCACACCATTTGATAACATATTAATTCATGTTACAAATATTAATTTAATGCCTATTTGATCACGACTCTGATAACTCCAGAAAGTGAAAAGTGCAAAGAGAGAGAAAGAACAAAACAGGGAGCTATGACAGAATGACTAAGGAGATCAGGGATGATTTCTTTGAGGTGACATTTAAGCTGAGACTTTAGAGTGAAATGTCAATGCAACAAAACAACATTGATACCTCTTAAGAGACCATATACATGGCCCTAACCGGTTTGGCTCAGTGGATAGAGCTCTGGCCTGCAGACTGAAGGGTCCCAGGTTCCATTCCGGTCAAGGGCATGTACCTTGGTTGCAGGCACATCCCCAGTAGGGATTGTGCAGGAGGCAGCTGATCAATGTTTCTCTCTCATCCATGTCTCTAACTTTCCTCTCTGTAAGAAAAAAAAATCAATAAAATATATTTTTTTAGAAAGAGACCATATACATGTATATATACAACATTTTTACCCACAACCCAACTAACTCCAGCTATCTTGGGCATAGATATCCCCATTCCAATCCCTATAACATCTTACCAATCTTTTTTTATCTAACTATTCTTATAGCATCTTTGCTATTGTTGTTAATCTCACCAGCAGATATTTTTTCCATTGATTTGAGTGAGAGTAGAAGGAAGGGAGGGAGGAAGGGGGAGAAAGAGAAACATCCCAAAGGCGGGGGGTGCAACCTTGAATCCAGGTACCTGTTCCCTTGACCGGGGATCGAACACGTGACCCTTGCGTACCTGGGCCCTACGCTCTAACCACTGAACCACCGGCCAAGGCTCGTCTGATTGACCCTAGCGGTCCAGGAAGGGGAAGGTTTCCTTTGGGTGTTTAACAATAATAAATTTGGAATTGGAATCGTGGGGTGGGGAATGGACGCCTCGTTTCAATCTAATGGCTTCTGACCCTCCCTCGCGGAGGACTCGCCTCCAACGTCCTCCATTCTTGTTTTCCTATCCTTTGGCCCAGGAGACCTTGCTCGGGATTGGCTACGAATAGGCCCGCCTCCTGCTCAG